ATTTAAATTACAATTGTTTCTTCAAATTTTCTTGAAATCGAATTTTAATTACTTTTTGAATTCGAATTGTTTAATTATGTCTGCTATTTCTTTTTTAGACCGAATTTATCAAAAGACGATTGGTTGAGGCCCAGGCACTAGAAAGCGGGCGTTATGCAGGCCGAAAAGTTTCATCGAAAGCAGTTTTTACTGGCGATAGCTTATCTGGTATTGCCAGTCGTCAGCCGGAATCAAGCCCGAATTCGTCCGGAAGCGATGGTTTGATGCCATTTATCATTCCGTTATTTGAGGTAAAAAAGGGAAGGGAATAAGAAGGGTAAAGGGATAAGCGGCTTTTTTTGTTCTTTTTTGAAAAAATCCATTTTTATTATCAGCCTCCATTCCAAATTTCATGAGATATTGGTTGTTTTGCCATTTAGGCATGCTTGACCTTTTAAATCTTTTCTAAAAATCCTTTTTTTTTGAATTTCTTTTTAATTCCTTTTATAATGTTTTTTTGAACCTTGTTTTCTCTTTTATCTTTATTCCTTCTTCACTTCATTCTCACCTCCCTAATCACACAGTCACAACCCTTCCCATTCCTTCCTTGCGTCTTTCTCTTTCTCTTTTCCCTTCCTTTTCCAATAAGAATATTGTGACCGTCATACTGACATGGTCCAGTCGCACAGTGTTGAGTTAAGACGTATATGACTTAATGGACCGAAACGTCTTATCTCATTCTTGCCTCCTTTTCTCATTTTTTCCTGCTTTCTGTATTCCGTACGCCTCCGACACTTTGGCATCCAAGGTCAACCTGGATGCTACCAGTCGGCTTAATCGGGATATCCCTACAGAATTCTTTGAATTTCATTCCGGTTCTTCAGTGGTTACTGTGAATTTGCACACAGAGTTTTTTTTTTTTCACTGATAGTTTGGTGATAGCATATGCTAGGAAGAGAATCAAACCCGCCATTAGCTGATAAATATCATAGATAAATTTTTTTCCCAGGACAAAGAACCACTCACATTCTTGGTATCATCGTTGATTTTTTCCAGAGGAAGTGCTATCGGATGATGATAATGATGAAGATGATGATAATGATGAAGATGATGGTTATGATGGTAATGATGGTTCTGATGATGAAACTGCCTCTTCTGTGGAGGAGCCGAATGCCGCTGAAGAACAAACCATGGTTACGATTTCCAGCGACACACAGCGTCAAAAAGGTGTGTTTCTTTGTTCTCCGTACAGTTCTGTTGACCATTTTGACCTGTTTTTTAGATACGGCTTTTTTCCCG